CATTGCTCTGATCACTGCTCTGCTCAGCCAAATACCCCTCTTGCTTTCTGCAGATGTTCCTTTTACTTTATCCTGCACATTCTGAGTCTCTGCTCCCTCACCTGCCCCCTTTCCCTGCCAATAATCCCAATAAAACCCCATTAGCTCATGCTTTAACCTCCGCACGTCCCGGCCCTGCTCGCTGCGCCTCATCTGGGATAATTTAAGGTTTCAGGAACTGTTGGCTTAGTGTTATCTTTATAAATACCTCCCTCCCTGATGCAGTCAGAGGCAAACAAAGGCAGCTGAGCTTTCCAGCCTCCAGGAGGTTTCCATAAAATCCTGGTTCAGCTCTCTCAGGGAGAGGGTTTGGGCTGTGTCCCCTCAGATGAGCCAAAACCCCTCCCTCATTCCCTGCCCCACCCACCAGGGAGCTGCTAAATGAAAGGAAAAATTATACATCTACTGTAAAAATCTATTAAATTATTATTATAAGCCTATTAAAAATTCTATCAAAGTGAGACATAAACTTTAGGGAATTTAGGAATTTTAGAGGAGCTAAGGTTTTAGCTAGAGATAAGCTTTATTGGAGTTAATTAAAATAAACGGGTAGGCCTTGATGAAGTTAAGAGTTAGTAGTTAACTAATAACTGATTGCTTGTCAACACACTGTTTGGCTAGCTGGGTTTATAATACAGAATTATAAGAGTATATTCTTATAGAAGAATATAGGAATTGATAAATGGCTTCTAGGAACATAAGGCAATTGTTTTTTAGGAACGTGAGACAGTTGTTTTTAGGAACATAAGACAATTGTTTTTAGGAACGTAAGACAATTGTTTTTAGGATCATAAGACAGTTGTGGCCTCCTCTGTTCTGAAACCAACTGAAAACGGTGAATGGGAGCTCTACCAAGGGTTCATTTGTCGTATTTGCATTGAAAAGGCAGAAAGATCAGAAGGAGGAAGATTTCATTTACTTCCTCATTTTGGGAAGACCCCCTCCCCATGAAAGGGACCCATTTCAAGGGACAAACCACACATGCTTAATGACTTTTGAACTAATTACCATATGGAACAGGGGATGGGATGTACCAAAGTTATCAATATGTATTTGTATTTTGGGTATTCAATACTTGTATAGATAAAAGGGCTCTGTAATCCCCTGTAAATTGGGTGTGTATTTGAGAGTTAGCCCACAATAAACATCCACTTTCTAACTTTAAGCTGTCAGAGAGTTCTTGCCCGTCACAGCTGGGTATCAGCACTAGACATCCATGCCAATATCCATATTTTTTTAATCAATCAGGAGAATTTCAGAGCTCCTTACTGAGGGTGAGCGTGTCGTTGATCCTGAAGCTGCACAGCACCCTGTCCACGTTGCGGGCGTGCCGGAACCCGTTCCCCCTGACCACCACCTGGAAGGACTCTGCCAAAACAGCCAGCGTCAGCAAAACCAGCCACAAACACCAGGGGTTGTGTCCAAAAAGGAGACACAGGAGCCCTCTGATTTATTCCAATAAAGGCAGAGCCCATGGGGCATCCCCTGGTCTCTCTGATTTTTGGAGGATGCAGCCTCCCTTTTTATCCCAACTTCCCTTCTCTCTTCCCCCATTTCTGATGTACTTGGGAGGTTCAGACCTTCTGATATGCCTGATACTGAAGATTTCCCTCCACTGTGAAACCCTTCTTTTAATTTTTAATTTTTGTTAGGAAAATTAACCCACAAACACCAGGGGTTTGTGTCCAAAGAGGAGACAGAGGAGCTCTTTGATTTATTCCAATAAAGGGAGAGGCCATGGGGCATTGCCCTGGGATCTCCGATTTTTGGAGAATGCAGCTGCTCTTTTTATCCCAATTTCCAGCCACATTTCCCTTCTCTCTTTCCTCATTTCTGAGGTACTTGAGGTTCAGACTTCCTGATCCCAAAGACTGCCCTCTAATGCACAACCCTCCCTTTTAATTTTTAATTCTTACAGAATTTAGGGGTTTTTATTCCCCATTGCTTCTTCCATCTTTAACGCCCAATTTCATTTATCAGCAAACCCAAAGTTTATTCGTAAAAGCAAATATCCTTTTCCATTCACCAATCAGTGGAATCCTTCCCATTATTCCTTTCATTTCTCAATGCTGGTTTTATCCACCACAGTTTGTAAAGACAAACCCCTCATTCCTCTCAGGCAGGAATTCAGGCCTTTTCTGTAAGAAAATCCCATTTGACACCACTTGGCAGAAGTGGGGCAGTGCAAACTGCCCTGAAAGAGAAATCCACCCCAAAATAAAGGTGAGATTTGGCAATTGGTGAATGTGGCGCTCTCCAGCAGTTCGAGATGGACTGAACATTGCATTTTGGGCAACAAGGAGAACGTGGGCTGGTTCAGACTCACCCCCTGCACAGATGCTGGAGGGCTCTGCTGCCAGGATCTCTATGCAGGATTTCTTCAGAATCTGAGGGAGACAAAAAGTGAATTCCTCAGCCCGGTTCCCACGGAGACAGAGATGGAAACAGAGATGTGCAAACAGCCCCTGAACCCAGCAGAGCAATCTGCGCTGGGGCACAACCCCAGCCCTGGGCTCCCCACCCTGAACCCCCCAAACAGGCCCCAGGGCCCCCCTGGGCTGTGCCAGGCTGAGGGTGCCAGGCTGAGGGTGCCAGGCTCTCCCCTGCCCCTTTGTGCCCCATTTTCTGCAATAACTCTGAAATTATTGCTGATTATCTGCAGCCCCCCAGGGCTGTGGGGGCATCACTCGAGTTTGGACTCAAACATCTCCAGTTTAAGCTGAACTGTTGGGCCAGAGAGTCCTTGGGAGGGCTGGCCCTGCCTTTAAGCACCTTATTGCAGTGATTCGCTTGGCTCAGGCTTGGCTCTCAGGGCAGAGGCATTATTCATTATTTATTCATTTTTATTTATTATTATTAATTATTCATTATTCATTTTTATGATCTATTATTATTAACTATTATTTATTTTCTATGTTATTATTTATACTTACCATTTATTATTCATTTTAAAGTTTTATTTATTTATTATTTCTCATCAATGTTATTTATTTATATTATTTATTTTATTATTTAGCTTTTAGTTCTTTTTATTTTATCATGTTATTATTTACTTTTTATTTATTATTCATTTATTATCTATGTTATTAATTATTTGTATTTATTATTTTTATTTAGTTTTTAGTTATTTATTTTATTATTCTATTATTTATTTATTCTATTATTTATTTTTATTATCTATTAATTAATATTCATTTATTATTATCTATGTTATTATTTATATTTACTATTTATTGTTTATTTTTATTGAGTTTTATTTATAATGTATTATAACATATTATAATGTATTATAACATATTATAATGTATTATAACATATTATAATGTATTATAATGTATTATAATGTATTATAATGTATTATTATTATTATTATTATTATTATTATTATTGTTAGTATTGCTGGGGTCTCAGCCAAGCTCAGCTCCCAGAGCCCAGCAAACATCAGCCAAGCATCCTTGGGTGACTCAAACCCAGCACGAAAACTATTTTCCCAACTTTAAACTGAAACATCTGCGAGGGAAGAACAGCAACCAATGCAACAAACCCTGCAAGGAAAAGAGAATTTTTGGGTTTTGTTTATACCTAATTGCAAAAGCTGCTCCTAGAAACATTCAGACAGAAGTTTGAAGGTTTCAAACACTGAGACAGAAGTTTTACTGAGAAAGCAGAGCTGAAAGTACCCAGGGGCTGGAGGATGCTCAGAGCTGGTGCAGCCTGACAGGCGAGGAGAGAGGAGATTGGCAGCAACAAGGTTGTACAGGAACTGTCGAGTGGGGAAAAAGAGAAATCAGCAGCTGAGAACAGAACAGGAGGATCCAAAACAGGAGAATTTAAAGTAGAAGAATTTAAAATAGAAGAATTTTAAAATATGAGAATTTAAAATAGAATAAGGAAAACCACAGAGACAGTAAAACACAATCAGCACTTTTCAAAATGAAGTAAAGCCCCCCATGGTTAAATCTGAGACGAACGACCTCTGCCCAGCCATTTACAACCATTCCTGCTGGCTCAGAGGGGGGAACTGCAGGTGGAGGATGCAGATCTCCCAGTCCAGTCTAACCCCTTTACATGACCGTAAAATCTGCCCCTGAACGCTTCCACGGTGCCAACTGCAATATTTATTTTGATTTAGATTAAGTTTCCAAGCACACACCCTGACTCAAAGAGCAGAATTAGTGCAAAAGGACAAAAATTACAATTGCAGCCCAGGGCTCCTTTTGGCAAGGGAAGAGGGAGCTGATTTTCCAGGAATGCAGACATTGTTTGTTATTCTCTGGGTGATCAATGCCCTCCTTGCCATTCCTTTCACCCACAAACCCTCTTCCCTTCTCCCAGGCTGCTGCAGGGATCCATCCCTGTGCCCTTCCCTCCTTCCCAAAATGGGAATTTTCCCTCCCCTCTCAGCTGGAGCAGCTCCTGGAGGTTGAAAAATCCCAACTGGAAGGGGAGGCAGAGCTGGGATTCATTAAAAACAGCTGCGGAGGGAATGCAGGGCTGGGGAGCCAAGCATTGCTCTGGTGGTGGTGTTGTTGTGCTGCTCTCNTATCTCTACATTAGGATATCCGTACATTACAGAAGTTAGTATATAGGTAAATTAGGATATAGGTACATTGGGATATCTGTACATTACAGAAATCAGGATGTTTGTACCTTAGGATATCTGTATATTAGGATATCTGTACATTACAGAAGTTAGGATATAGGGGTATTAGGATATTAGGAATATTAGGAATATTAGGATATAGGTACATTAGGATATCGGTACATTACAGAAGTTAGGATATCTGTACATTAGGATATCTGTATATTAGCATATCTGTACATTATGGAAAATGCTGCATTTTAAGGCAGAAGCCTCTGACCCTCAGCTAAACCTTCCAGCCAGAATCTCACTGCTGTAAAAGTGATGGGAGAAGCTCCCCAGAGCCTGAGGAGCCCTGGGTGATGCTCCTGCTCTGCAGCCTGGAGCCAGAGCTCTGTGCCCCTGGGGACAATGGGGACACTGGGGCTGCCCACCCCTGTCCCAGCCCTCTGGGCGAGCTGGGCTCTCCTCACCCTGATTTATGAGCATATCATGAATTTATCACGTTGTCTCGGCACACAAGCCAAGAAAACGGAGATCAGGGTCTTGTTTTCCCTTTGCTGAGGAGGCGAGGCCAAACCTGCTCCGTGCCAGCACCCACACAGCAAAAGCTGCTCCGTGCTGCCCGGCCTTGCACTCGGCTCTCTCAGGTTTCTGTTTCTGTTCCTGCCCCTGCCCGCTGCCATCAGCCCCTCTGGGAGCTTTATCGAGCTCCAGGCACAGATCAGTGTGTGTGGAGGCTGTTTTGTGCTCGGCGGCAAAAACGAGCTGTGCTCCAAACAAAGGAGCATCCATTTGGATTGCATAACTCGGCCTGAAAGCTCACCCAGGGACAGCAAACAAAGCAGGACTCTCATCCCTGCTCGGCTGCAGGGCAGATTCCTGCACCCCGGAGAGGGGCTGGCTGTAAAACCCCCCCAAAACGACCCAAACTGGCTCTGAGCAGAGCGCAGGAGGGTCAAACCTCCCCAAAAAAGCCAATTCTGGGCTCTGTGGGTGCCCCTCCAAGCAGGCTCCTGGCCCTGCTCAGACCCTGCAATCCTATCCCAATGCTCCTGCACCTGAGCAGCTCAGGGCAGCCTGGAAAACCCATCACTCCCAGCAAGAAAAATCATTCCTTGTGCCGTCAGCAGGGGTGGGACCTTCTGGCAAGGCAGGACCTGCAATATTTCCTGACCATCATCATAAAAAATAAAGCTTCGATGTATGCAGGATGCTTTGGGAGCAAGCCTCAAATAAAAGAGCAAGCTTCCAAAAAACCTCCCCAAAACAACAGCAAAAACAAA